TTTTTTATCCAAATTCTAAATGGATTTGTAAAATCACCCGATTTAGGGTTCGACTGGTTGTACCGCAGCGGTTGCGGTTGCGGGTGGCAGCGTTTTCAGAACGTTTGATAGCGATTATAAATGATTAGTACTGACTGGTTGAGAAGTTGTTGTTGGTAGCGATTGCGGGCGGGTGCAGTTAGAAGTGAATGGTTCATTACGGTTGCGGTTGAGTTTTGATATAAATTATCAAAAAAATATTATTTAAAAATAATTTTTTATAACAGTTTTAATTAAATTTTTCGTATCATTTGATAAAAATTATTTACTAAATTTATAATAATTAAATAATAAATTTAAAATAGAAATATTATCAATTTAATTTATTTTGAGTAAAAAAATAATTTTATTATAAAAATTATTAAAAATAATCATTATTAAACCTAGAAATTATACTATTGTATTTTTTTTATTAAAATATAATGCTAAAAAATAATATCAAATCATAACACTAAACAAAATCATCACCAATATATATATTAATGTTTTATATAATTTCTAATAAAAATATTTTAGTTTTTTTGTCAAAACGCCGGAAACCGCTACCAAAACGCAAGTTGGAAGCTGCAATTAGAAAACACAAGTTTGGTTGCAGTTGCGGTTGGTTGCGGTTCAACCAGTCAGTTTTTCAATCGCCCGCAACCGCCGGAAATCGCAATCGCTCCGTTTGCGGGTGGCGGCGGTGCAACCAGTCGCCCCTTATTTCATGAAACATAACTTGTATTTTTTTTTATTTTTTTAATGTTTACCAAAAAAAGATATTTACATAAACATAAAATTAAAAAAATTAAAAAACAGATATAGGAAACTCTAAAGTTTCGGACCTAACTCAAACTCTAATTAAATAAAAAAATAACTCAAATTTGGATAGTTCAACCGGTTAAATAGTAAATAGGGATGCAAAACGTTTATTTCACCTCAAATTTGAATCTCAAGTTTGAGGAGGGAGCATATATTCCAAATAATCATCGTTGATTCCCAGTCCCTATATGGCGATACCTGGTAAATCGGTTTCAGCAAACAAATATTTCGAAGATCTTCAATGTCTAGCAACAAGTTGATAATTTGCATTAGGGATCTTTGGATCTCAACACATACTTCATGAAGTTGACTTCTTTATGGGAAGAACTCAAAAATTACGAGCCTCTTCCGACATATTCCTGCGGTGGTTGTTCTTGTGATATGTCTTGTCACTGTCATAAGATTGTTTGAGCACAGAAACGTTGTTCGTTTCTTGATGCGCTTGAATGACTCTTTTTTCCCGCTTGTAGGCAGATTCTCGTGATGGATCCTTCATCACGAGAATCTACCTACGAGCGGCAAGGTAGGAGTCATTCCAGCGCATCAAAAAATGAACAACGTTTCTATGCTCAAACAATTTATGCTAGTGACCAGACAGATCACAAGAACAACCACCACACGAACATGTCGGAAGAGGCTCGTAATTCTTGAGTTCTTCCCATAAAGAAGTCAACTTCATGAAGTTGAGATCCAAATATCTATAATGTAAATTATCAACTTGTTGTTGGACATTGAAGATCTTCGAAATATTTGTTTGCTGAAACCGATTTACCAGGTATCGCCATATCTCGTGAGCATTCTCCATGTAGCATATTTGTTTGTTGGGGAGGTGGGTGAAAATTTTCTGGATTTTCGTCTGCCATGACGGCAATGAACGGAGAAAAAAAAAACAGGGGACGAAAAAAGAATATGGAGTAACGAAACTAAAAATGATGATCAGAACAACGCAACGTATTGTGGTCTGATACCATATTAAGTTCCGAATACAGAACTGGAGAAAAAGATTTCGTACTTTCTATTGAAATGCAGCAACGTATTTAATCAGTTCAGTACAACAGAAAGACAACAAAAATAGGAAACAGAAAACATAGATCTAGTTAGAGAAGAGATAAAAATAGAATCTGTAGGTAGTTGAGTGTATCGAAACTGAATGGATCTAACTGATATCGTCTAACTTTAATACATATTCCCAATATTTATACACCAATTTATGCGGTTATGCATCAAAACACTAAAAAAATTGCATGAGTGTGGTTAGTGTGGTTCATTAACTTAATAATTTAGTTTTTCTTATATACTTTTTGATGTTTATAAACTATCGAATGCTCCTTTATCTCGTCATTTATATGAAAATACGAATTATTTAATATAATTAAATAATACATTAAATCGGTTTGGTAATAATTAATGAAAGAGATAAGGTTATACAGACAATCAAGGATCCCTAGACAAAATGCTGTACACCTTTTTTTGGTAGAAGGAAACCTATATTTAAGAAAATCTCAATCGGCTAATAAAACAATAAATCAAAGGACGGTTTTTATAGTTAAATAGTAACAATTTCATAACTTAACCAAAACTTCTACATGTCAAAGGTTATATGGAAAATTGTCCCAACGCTTTGTTGATTTGTGAGGTTCAGATATTTAAAAAAAAAAAAAGATTCGGATCCATATCTAAAAGATTTTGGTTATCAAAGCGTCAAGTCAGTGGTCGGCATTGGGTCAAGTTAATAATATCAATAGTTATTACTTATTATTTTTATTTTTTTTCCAAATATCGATGTATTTGATATTTTAAAACATTTGGTATATTTTCATATATTTTAATAGAAAATACAGTTTTCTATTATTAGAGTGCTTGAATCGGATGTATAGGTTAATTTATTGGCGTAGCTGTGATTAAATAAAAATCACCATTAACTAGTTAATTAATCCACTTGATATAAAATTAACCAACATAGTCAAATACTATTTAACTTCGATTACACACACTTAAAATGAAAAAGAAACTAATCGTGAAACATTGAATGAGACATGTTTCTCCTCATTATTATTATTGAACGTAAAAACGACTAGATCTATAGATTTAAATATTACAAATTTGGACTTTGTAAATTAAAAAATGCAATTGGAATGAACTTTGTTGATACTGAAACTTTTTTTTCAAAAACTTAACTAAATATATAGATGCTTTTCTATGACAATTTTTTAGAATATTTACTTTTGACCTTTGATACCCTTATTTCTTATTAAATCGATATAAAAAAACTCAAAATTTAATCAATAATTATTAAAAGGATACAAATATATTCATATATATATATATATACATACATTATAAAAACATTAAAATTAAAATTTTCGGCATGAATCCTGGAAAAAAGAACCCGTTGCTTCTTAAATTCCGTCTTGAAAGCCATGTGATCACGTCGAACCACGACTTCCGAATTAATTATCCTTGCCATATTTTTAATTTCTTTAAAATGAGAATCTGTCAGTTTCTAACCAATTATCACGTTAAATAGAAGAGGACATTTATTATTCGAATATAGAAAAATAATATTATTCGAATCTTTAAAAATGATTTAAATAGTCGTTCACATGTACCAATTCATCTAATTCGTGTTTTTGGAATGATTTTATATTATTGTAAGATTCTATTATATGGTTTCAACCCCAAGTTGACATTTATCAAAAACAAAAAAAAGTTGACGAGTCTGAATGATTTCGTGATTTTCAAAACACGTGGATCACGAGAAAATGGCACGAGCTCCCAGGTCCCATATATCTATACATTCTATGGTATCATATAATTATTATTCCATATATGTAAATAGATTAAATCAACGGAATAAAATCAGATAATTATATATATAACTTATAAATTAAATTTTTTATTTTAAAATTCCATTCCAATTGAGTTTTTGAACAATGAAAGTTCCAACTAACAATTATGAATACAGAATACATATTTTGTATATATTAGTTTTATATCCGTCATCTTACCAACCTTTGTGTAATATAATTTTAAATAAATATTGAATATTTCTGTTTTTATATTAAATATTCCCAATAGTAATATACTTTACATAATAGCTTTTACGCTAAATCAAAGTTTGTCTTTTATAATCTATTTTTTATAATACTATGACATATTCTTCAATGTCATGTATTCATATTTTAAAATTACATATTTATTTGAATATTTACTTATATATATATATATATATATATATTATGGTCTCATTTAATCAGTTTGCTGAATTAATTTTTATTTTTTTCAAATTAATTTGATCTAATGAATACTCATTCATACCTTTTCCATATTGTTCTTTTTTTTTTTACAATTTTGATCTTACAAAGAATGGAAAACAAATTTACTTTGATATAAAAATATCGTATATTCATACCAAGAAAAATATCGTATTTTTAATCCGTGAGTCCACGACCGACAATTCATGATATGGGTGCCAACTGTGCTACCCGCCTCCTTCGTTCTCTCAGATTTTTTTTTGTTTTTTTTAATCTTTTAAGAAAATATTCGATTCATTTTAGGAAAATATTTGTTCGAACAGTTTTTACTGTTAAAATAATGTCAATTTTTGAAAATTTCAATTTTATTATATTTTTATATACTATTCAAAATTTTAAAAGATAATTATTAAATTCAATTTAGATAGAATCGTATATTATTCCCCTCCCGTGGGAGTGAGCGGGGGTGACCAGTCCCAATTTCGATATATATTTAGTTTGTAAAAATGATTCCAATTAAAAATACATCACGTTAACCTCCATGTAATTAAACTAGACCACATTTGTATTTAATGAAACCAGAAAACCTGGAAAACAATACCCTTTTGTTTATTTGATAAAAGAATCTATTTTTTTTTAATTTAATTTTTTCGGTTTTGGATTCTAGCTATTAAGTTCAATCTGGATATAATTGTACATCGTTGACCTTTCTATAAGGGAATAATAGGTAACCATTGCCAATTTCGATAGATATTATATTACGTGCCGTGAGTAATTTAAAAAAAATATCCATTTAAAAGACACCACGCGCGCACCCACGTTTATTATAAAATAAATAATATTATTACATTTGCGTTTAATGAAACCCTTTGAAAACTTTGCATATAAGCTCATGCAAGTGGCAAGTAAACTTCAAACGACAACCACTAATCATCAATCTCTCTCTCTCTCTCCCTCTCCCTCTCCCTCAATCTCTCTCTCTCTATCTATCTCTATCTCGATCTCTCTCTCGATTTCGATCTCGATGGAAATCAAACGTAGTAATATCTACGTGGGGATGGTAGTGGTGGTGGGAGTGTTATTGAAAATGACAGTAGAAGTGGTCGGACAAAATCTGCCGGAGGCGGGGCTGTTCAGTTTCGGGGACTCGTCGTATGATGTCGGGAACAAGAGGTTTCTGACCAATGCCTTTCTTCCCCAAACCACTTGGCCTTACGGCAAATCCACCGACGACCCTAACGGTCGTTTTTCCGATGGCCGTATCATCCCCGACTTCATCGGTACCTTTCTCTCCTTTTTTTTTTCTTTGAAAATTATAAATAATTTACGTTAATAGAATTTATATATTTCTTTGTTACGTTGAAAACGATATTCTCACATCCAAAAGACGTGAAAATGGGATATACCACTTATCATCATCGTGTTTGGTTTGAGTTTTATTTATGTCTTTTAATCATTATCGAAATCATATTTCTTTATCAAGGAAATTCCATTCTCATCACAAAGACATGTGTCCAAACGGCGTATGACGTGGTTCTACGTTTTCCACATGTGGTTATCCACAAATATCTTGCTTTTTTTTACGCCACACAAATATATATATATATATATATA